CTCTCTCTCTCTCTCTCTCTCTCTCTCTCTCTCTCTCTCTCTCTCTCTCTCTCTCTCTGTACAATATTAGTCCGCAGAAACGGCGGGACCGTCGAAATAACGGCCGCGCGGAGCTCGCTCGCGTCGTCTATCGTAATTGGATAGCTTGCTCGTCGCGCCGTGTGAGAGAGTACGCGCCGACGATGGCACGGAATGTCACCGCGCTGTTGCGCTATTAACGCGTACCAAGGGCATGCGCCCAACAGAACGATTGCTCGGCATTGTTACGCTAAGGGGAAACCGGCTCCGGATATCGCGCGCCGACACGTTCACGGGTGCTCCCCGCAAAGCCGCTGCGCGAAGTCGGTCGATCGAAACCTTGCGAAGAGAAAATCGACCCTACAGCGTCCTTTTCCCTTTCTCTTCCTTCCTTCCTTCTTTTTTTCTTTCTTTCTTTCTTTCTTCCTTTCCTTTTCAGGGCGCATCTTTGCCCGACGCCCTTGCGTACAACATTGGGTCGATCCATGAGTTCTCGTGCGCGGATTCTTGTCTAGTTGGCATCCAAATGTTGGTATTAAGAAGTACAGTTGGCTATTTGTGTATATGCTTTGATAGCTAACGCTTCAGAGCGTATCTTGTGGTGATGGCGAGAGTGATAGTGTTTAAAGAGATAAAGATAGAGCCTTCATTCATTGTGGCTTGAAGATGGAAGGCAGTAATGAGTTCTTCCGGTGCATTGTTCTTTTTTACTTCCGCAAAAATCATCGGAGTATGGCTGGGATGTTTCGCCTCACCCATCATGTGCGCCCTCCGATTGTCATTTGTTTCGCTCATTGCGGAGCTTGCGGACCTTGACGGTGCAAACTTGGTTTATTTAGAACTTTGGAAGATGTGGAAAGTCATTTGGAACGTTCTTTCGTCGGGAAGGCACAAGAGTTTTATACCAGAGGGGAATTAGAAAGTTACGTGAAAGATGGCAAAAGATCGTCGGAATAGAATGGCGCATGTGTCATCGATTAAAATTGCTTTCAACTAAAACAAAGTGCATCTCAATTTTGTTGAAAAATCCGCGAACTGGCGGATTAAGCCGATAGTTTCTCAGGCGCATCGGCGATTCTTTCGATGATCGTCACAAGCCGCGTTTTTTCTTAAAAAGCACATATTTCGCGTAGCGCGGCACATTCTGGCCGACAGCAAGGCCGCGACATCGTGCCGCTTACGTTGCTGTAATCTTCTATACGTATTTTCCGTACCGTAACGCAAAACCGACGACGTGTCGTTACTGCTTTTTGCCGTTGCCACTGTCGTAAATAATCATTTTTCCTTATCACAACTGATGTTACGTCCGACCTTGTTCGGCTGTACGTGCTTTCGTCTTCGTATTCTAATGTTAGTGGAAAAAAAGCGCGCACGCGTTTATTCATCTGGCACAGAGAGATGTTACAATTGCGCGTACAATTATCTTGTTCTGTGCGAACAGCGTTAAGCGGTTGCTTCGGGATTGAATCTTATAACTCGCTTACTAATTCGTTAATTGAATTGGATTACTCACGAGCACCTGTCAATTGTGTCGACGGCGACCTGTTCCTAGATATGCGATAAGCTCAATCGACATTCTACAATAATAAATGCGCATATATGCGCAAAATTATACGGGGTAATGAGACCATTAGTAATCTCGTGGTTAGTCGAACGTGACATTGTTTAAACTCGCGTTATCGTGCCTTTGAAACAAGCTTTGACGTAACTCGACAAAAAAAGAACAGGAAGAAAAGAGTACTATTACTCGAAGCTCTAAAGAACGTGCATCGCTTCGCTAATACATGATCTCTCGAGGTGGTGAAGCACAATTCGCTAAACATTGCACGCATTCGAAGACTGCAACAAGGGCGTGCATTTTGATCGAAAAGTAGGTATTCAGAGCGGTGTGCGTTCTC